TACAAATATTTATTTGTTGACCTTTAGATAACAAGGATAGACCCAGAATTTTAGAATTTGTCCACCTGCGTTGGCCATAGTTATATTGGTAAGTCAAAGCACATATCTGAAGTAGTGATCACATGTGTAATGGATAATGGATTATGAATAATTTTAAACTATACACAACAGCAACTAGATATAAATGAGCCTTTGGGGAAAAACCTGCCCTCGTCATGGATAATATTACAAACCCATAGGAATCATGCAGACACCGCTCTTTAAAGTGATAGTCTGTGACTCTAAATTAATTACAAATTTTAGGAAATGTGTTAAATTGACCTCCTGGCCTTAAATGTTGATATAAAATAAGTTATTTTATTAATTCTAATATTACGGGCAAGTCCCGCCTTCCCTTCTCTTAGCTATAGCTCAGAATCCACGATGCCGTCGAGGTTAACCAATTGAGTCATGCCAAGGGCTGTCAATCATCAGCGCTGATGCTCGTAGCTACGTGCATGCTCAGTTGTTTGTTTTTGCGGAGCCTCCGAATCAAGCCTCTATTAGGCTCTGGAACAACAGGAAAACTGAACAAAGAATTCTGAACATCCGCGCTGAGGTACTTATGTATATACTGAACCTATATCCATAATCAGATCCTCTGCAGATGTGTCCTATAATGTGCAATTCATGATAATAGCACTTCCTCGTTTGCCGCGATCGCTTTTTTGTGTGCATAAAAACATATTTTTTTTCATTAAAACGTTCACAAATAATTCTGAAAACCTCCGTGCATGTGTATTAATAATGTATATTATATGTTCTCTGATTAACATTTAAAAGTGTTACGGAAACGTAGGTGTAGACCAATCAGAAAGGAAGGGGGAGGGAGCTTGCGTCGTTTTTTTCAAATCAAGTACCTCTCTGTCTCTCTTTCTGACAAACTCCAGACAATCACTTTAATGATTAAAGCCAGATCTTCTGACTTTGAACCTGTCTCACTCCTAAACAGAGCCAGGGGAAAAACTATATATGGATCACATTAATGCACGGTTCTATATTTGAGCCCCTTTGGAAGGGTATCTCTGCCTTACAGCATCTATTTGTTTATGTTTTGAAATCAAAACTTATTTCCCAAAGCAATGTTGTACTTATTATGAGATGAATACTAGAAAAATGTGTACTCGAGACTGAATTAACTACTGTACATTACATTTTATAACATTGCGATACACAGTAATGAAACAATAGCTGTATGGCCATGAATTAATTATCCTTTTTACCATCTATCCATTCTGCTTTATGAGTTCTAATAATTGTATTATAATATTTGGTCATGAAAAGCCACCACCCCTGTTATTGTAGTGGTCTAGCAAGTATAGTTACAGTGCCTTGCGAAAGTATTCGGCCCCCTTGAACCTTTCAACATTTCGCCACATTTCAGGCTTCAAACATAAAGATATAAAAATATTTTTTTTTGTCAAGAATCAACAACAAGTGGGACACAATCGTGAAGTGGAACGAAATTTATTGGATAATTTAAACTGTTTCAACAAATAAAAAACTGAAAAGTGGGGCATGCAATATTATTCGGCCCCCTTGCGCTAATACTTTGTAGTGCCACCTTTTGCTGCAATTACAGCTGTAAGTCGCTTGGGGTATGTCTCTATCAGTTTTGCACATCGAGAGACTGGAATTCTTGCCCTTTCTTCCTTGCAAAACAGCTCGAGCTCAGTGAGGTTGGATGGAGAGCGTTTGTGAACAGCAGTCTTCAGCTCTTTCCACAGATTCTCGATTGGATTCAGGTCTGGACTTTGACTTGGCCATTCTAACACCTGGATATGTCTATTTGTGAACCATTCCATTGTAGATTTGGCTTTATGTTTTGGATCATTGTCCTGTTGGAAGATAAATCTCCGTCCCAGTCTCAGGTCTTTTGCAGACTCCAACAGGTTTTCTTCCAGAATGGTCCTGTATTTGAAAAGCAGGCCCAAACCATGATGCTGCCACCACCATGTTTGACACTGGGGATGGTGTGTTCAGGGTGATAAGCTGTGTTGCTTTTACGCCAAACATATCGTTTTGCATTGTGGCCAAAAAGTTCGATTTTGGTTTCATCTGACCAGAGCACCTTCTTCCACATGTTTGGTGTGTCTCCCAGGTGGCTTGTGGCAAACTTTAAACGAGACTTTTTATGGATATCTTTGAGAAATGGCTTTCTTCTTGCCACTCTTCCATAAAGGCCAGATTTGTGCAGTGCACGACTGATTGTTGTCCTATGGACAGACTCTCCCACCTCAGCTGTAGTTATCTGCAGTTCATCCAGAGTGATCATGGGCCTCTTGTCTGCATCTCTGATCAGTCTTATCCTTGTTTGAGATGAAAGTTTGGAGGGACGGCCGGGTCTTGGTAGATTTGCAGTGGTCTGATACTCCTTCCATTTCAATATAATTGCTTGCACCGTGCTCCTTGAGATGTTTAAAGCTTGGGAAATCTTTTAGTATCCAAATCCGGCTTTAAACTTCTCCACAACAGTATCTCGGACCTGCCTGGTGTGTTCCTTTGTCTTCATGATTCTCTCTGCGCTTTAAACAGAACCCTGAGACTATCAAAGAGCAGGTGCATTTATACGGAGACTTGATTACACACAGGTGCATTCTATTTATCATCATCAGTCATTTAGGACAACATTGGATCATTCAAAGATCCTCACTGAACTTCTGGAGTGAGTTTGCTGCACTGAAAGTAAAGGGGCCAAATAATATTGCACGCCCCACTTTTCAGTTTTTTATTCGTTAAAAAAGTTAAAATGATCCAATAAATTTCGTTCCACTTCACGATTGTGTCCCACTTGTTGTTGATTCATGACAAAAATTAAAATGTTATATCTTTATGTTTGAAGCCTGAAATGTGGCGAAATGTTGAGAGGTATATCACAGAGAAACTCCCTTTTAATCACCCATCATGTTCGCCCCTTCCCTTGCACTCAGCCTGCTACCCAGACGTAATGTTCCCGCCATTAATCAATAAATACTGTATAATGGTTTGTCTGTATGGGAACAGCCAGATAGATTATTGTATTAAATGAAACTTTCACAAATAAGTTGCATGGTTTTTACATTTTCAGGGGTATAGAAGAAATAACATGGTTTTCTTGATTAGTTGATTTATAATAACACGTTTGAAATGTCCAATAGTACTGTATGTTTGTCAAAAGTATCAACAATCAGATATTAAAACCAGTATTGAAACTATACTAATTTTAGTAAGTATCAATAGTAACAATTCGCAAATACAAGAATAAAGCTGAGCAATTTTAGACTGAACTAACGTTGATTTGATTTTACACTCAAACTAGTATAAAATGCTTGTGGTATTATATAAAACAGTACTATTATTTATAATAATAAAACATCACAGAGTAATGATTAAGTGTGTAATGATTGTAGGTCAGGCTTTCAGAGACAAAAACCATCAAAATATTTACTGTTTTTTGTTGTTGTTGCCGTATTTATGCTGTAATGATGACCCAGCCAGTTCCATATGATAGGACTGACTCTCCAGATTACCTTTTTAGCCATGCAAGTTCACATTTGTATGATGGCCCTTTAAATTGAATCCTCCATCACCATCTCGCCACACACTTCATTGAACTTGAATATAAATCAGCCGTGCTTGTAACACCAGACAGTGAAAGATCAGCATAACCCTATTCATCATGATCATGTCTGCTAAAGATATGCCGATATTGCACCGTGCACGCAGCCACAAGCGCCACATTGCTTAAGCTAATGGCTCTGAACACATGGTTCCGCTTGGATTTTTCTATCTTGCTCCGTCATCGTTGTGCTTTTCATTTTGTTGTACATTCGCTGGTTAAATGGTTCGTGGTCGACAGCGATGCCAGGCTTTAGGCGAGGCTCTCTAAAAGGAGAACATGTTCACTCTTTTCAGCTTTGCACCGGTGCCACAGTTATTTTTAAAAGGATTAGCGGCAAGCTCTGAAGTCTGTAGTTTGTAACATATGGCTGACTATCTTCCCCCTATGGCTCTGCTGTGATAGATCGAGGATGGCAATATGTTTTGTATGACTGATTGTCTCCATACTCCTCTCCGTTCTTATTCATTCCACTGCCTGTAAAAGTCTCATATTTTTGCTTAAAGGAATTTTTCATTGAATGCACCTTCTCCATCAGCAGTCCTGAACTCGTGACAATGTTGTTTGATTAAGAAGTGAGTGGTGTTACTGAACCTAATTCTACTTAAAATAGAGTCAATATAGATATTTGCCCCATGATGAATGCGAGGTATTTTTTATACATTTTAAATACAGTGCCTCATCATCTCTTTAGGAAGTGTTCCATTTTGGGAACTACTCTTCAACTCATTTTCATTAATACAAATGTCATGAAATGAGTTGGTTGAAATCTGTTGTCACTTTAGCATGTTGTTGGTCAAGGCCTACACATTTACCCCCTTATCTAAGTTTCTCATCTATGTGCAAATATAACGGCATTCAAAATTGCATCGAAAGTATCAAAAAATACAACTGCGGAGGAATGCACCCATCTGACAACCACAAAAGGAGGCAGCAGCAATCACGGCCTCATCCAGATGCATTGTTGTGATAGAAGAGGCTTTTGAACTCAACTGCTCTGTTACGTCAGTGGGTTTTTAAAGTACCTCTTCTTTCCGACAAACACTGCCATGAATGTGCTAAAACAAATAGGTTTTTACAAAAGATATTGTTGAGCATGTGTGAAAGTTCTCCTATAATTGTTTGACTGCTTCATAACCATCACAATTAAACATCTGCAGTATGTGCTGTGGCCCATAGTGATTTACAGTATTCCCAATGGTTGCAGTGACACATCTCCTTGAATGACTTTACTTTATTGATTATACAGTGTGATGTGATCCTCTTGCTTATAATTGTATATTTAAGTGTGATTAAAATGAGTTGTATATTTATTGTATCCCCACAGGTGTGGCGGCCAGGAGTGCTGAGGCCATTTCCCAGAATGCTTTTGGTAGAGCACCTTCACGAAGCCGGTGTGCCCCCAGCAGGCTGGATCCGGGCCCTGGGGTTGCTTCTTCTTTTACAGGTACAAGTCATTTATATGAAAAGATCTATGCTGTTTTTCTTCCACTAAAATTAGATACCTGAATAGCGTCAGTATTTTAAAAGTATGTAACTTTGACAAACTCATACAAATTATTCATTTTTTTAGAGTGCAAGTTGTGCTGCTCCATCACAAGACGGTGTGCTGGTCCGAACCACCAGAGTAAGGAGACAGAGTCCAGGAGCAGACGAGTCCTCCTCCACAGTGAACCAAACGATGAAAGACCAGCCTGTGGTCTTCAACCATGTCTACAACATAAACGTTCCAATGGAGACTTTGTGCTCTGTTGATCTGGACGCTTCTGAAGCCGACCCCATGGATGGTGAGCCGTGTTCCAGCTTTACACAAAACGACGGCCATTGTGACTGTATAGTGTAATAACATAACAATCGGCTAATAAAAGTGTTCAGTATAGGCTTGAAATTAAACAATTACTTTTTTATTTAAAGGGGCTCGGGCGGAGCTGGGATCCAGGCCTCCTGTGGAAGGGCCACTTGAATCACTGGGTCCTACAGAATACACAGAGCAGACATTGGACAGTGAAAGTCAAGTAAGTTGTTACCTGTAAAAACCTCATTTAGACCATCATCGAGACCAACATCTGTAATGTATAGTAACCTATTTTTTTTTTTTTTTTTTACATTATCTTCTCTGACAAGGTCACATTCACTCATCGCATCAACATCCCTAAAGCAGCCTGTGGCTGTCCATCGTCTGTCACCCTTCAGCAACTGGTCGTCCGAGTGGAGATGTTGGAGAAGGAGGTGACCATGCTCCGGGCCCATTGTGGCTCAGGGTGCTGTGGGGACGGCTCTGTCGTGGGTGAGTCCTGTTTAAACAATACATAAGATTCTGTATGTAATGAAGTGTTCATGGTACTAAAGGCTAAATGCATGGCACTAAAAGCAGAAACATACTTTCAGTGCTCCTTAAAGCAAAAAGGACCTTATAAAACCTTTCCAAAAGCAACTTGTTAGGCATTAGTGTAATAAGTTAATGAGAAACTAGACTGGATAAAGTTAAAGATTATCGTTAAAGGATCTACTCCATTGACACCATCAAACCATTCAAATATTTTCTGAAAATGCCCGGTGTCTTCAGAGGGAATATGATTATCTGCTGCAGCCCTGATGTGAATCAGAATGAGGATAAAAGCCCAGCTTAGGACTATCTCTGCAGAATAGAAATGCACTAAATTGAGCCGCGATTACTGTGGCCCTGATGTCCTACTGTTGTATTGCTATTTCATAAAAGTAAATATCAAGTGGACCAGACATTTGAATAGATTATATTTATTATTGTGATAGTTGTAATATAACTTTTAGTGGATTCATAATGTATTTTGTTTGTGCTGATTTATTGGCCCAATTTGTGCTTCCTCCTTTCAGTTTCCAGCTGCAGTGGGCGTGGCACCTTCAGCTTTGAGATTTGCAGCTGTATCTGCGAAGAAGGCTGGACTGGCAAAAACTGCTCCGAGCCGCGTTGCCCGGACGACTGTTCGGGGCAGGGCATCTGTGTGGAGGGCGAATGCGTGTGCGACCGCGACTTCGGGGGCGACAACTGCTCAGAGCCTCGATGCCCGTCAGACTGCTCCGGGCGCGGCCTCTGCATCGATGGGGAGTGTGTGTGCGAGGAGTCCTACACGGGGGAGGCCTGCCTGGTGGGACGCTGCCTGAACGACTGCTCGGACCAGGGCCAGTGCGTCAACGGGACATGCCGCTGTCGCCCCGGTTACGTGGGGGAGGACTGCTCTCTGGTCTACTGCGCCAACAACTGCAGCAAGAAGGGCGTGTGCAAAGAGGGCTTCTGCGTGTGCCAGGACGGCTACGCTGGAGATGACTGTAACTCAGGTACATGTTCTACTGTTCCCCACAGCGCTCTGCAGCGACCGGTGCTGGCGAGACTCGAGTCAATCTGAAAAGGGTTTGAAAAAGAGAAAAAGCTTCGGTGTCTATTCTTTGATGTCGAGCTTGTCCTCTTTGATGTAGGAAAGTAGCAATGTCCTTATTGCTGAGGATGATGAGCCAACCACGTGTAAAAATCCCATTAAAGAAGACATGTCATGCAAAATCAACTGTTTGAGCTTTCAAACATGTCACAACATTGTTCCCTCATCATTAAAAAAAAGTTGTGTTTACTGTAGATCCATCCATGACAATATCAGGAACTTCTGGCACAAAATGGGCAATAATAAAGCTTAATGTTTCTTCTTTACATAAACTTCTACATAGTTAGCTCTTCACAAACTAACAATATGACCTTTTATGAGTAATAGGTTTTATATGATAATTAATTTGCATTTGCAGAATTTTGATTGGTTTAGCGGTTTATGAGCAGCAAGTTTTTTTTTTTTTTCAAATTTTAACAATTTCAAATTTGCTCCTGCAACATTTGAATTGTTCCTTCAACTCCCGGGCCTAGGTCACCTGAATGTCAAAAAATAAAACACATTTTTTTGTGAGACGCATGAATCTGATCTCATTCATTGCTACATTAGGTTTTCCTTCACTAGAGCTGCGACGAGGGTGCGTCCACTCGCATGAGTGTGATTATTTCATGTTTTTGAATGGAAAATATCTTTGTAACTTATAAGCAAATCAAATGGGCTAAATAATACCTCCAATGTTGAGTTTTTAACCATGGTACAGCATTGGTCCCACATCATCCCCAGGGTGTCAGTTACAAAAACGGTTAAAAAAAAGTTGTTATGGAGAAAAGGCCAATGTATGAAGCCTTTGTACTTGGACGGCTGCATGTGGAGGAACATCACGAATGAAATGTATCTTAAAACAAAACATGTTATGCTGTAATTCCTCCTACAGTACAATGTGTCAATGCACTTTGCTTTGTTCTGTACAATTATAGGCAAATGCAGCAACACAGATTGCTTTCTGAATTTCAACTGAAGCAGTTCAATAACCTTGGACGTGCCTGGTGACAGGTGTGAGCGTTTCACATTATCAACAAGAGTTAAAAATCTAGATGCGTTTGAGCTGTAATTTTTTTTTCTTGTACATTCTCTCTCAGAAAACCAATACAGTTATATTTAAATGCAAAATACCTTGTCAAACGAGGCCAGCCTGGTAAGTGGCATTGAATTTCCCAATGTGTCAGGGGTTGTCTGATTTAATTGAGTGAATAGAATCCATTATATTTAACAACTCAAAGTGTATCATTGTTGAACAGAATATGTCCATATAAAAAGAAGACACTACTGAAATACAACTTCAAAAGTGCATTTGTTTCAAAGATGTGGATTCATAGTTCCCAGATAATTATAAACATTTGTAAAAAAAAAAAAAAAAAAATTTGGAAAAAACACAACATCCTCATATATATCATAATCTTTGTTAATATAACTCGTTTTATTCCCAGCAACATGTAACATTATGAAAACAACATGAAATTATTTTGACACGATGTAGCTGACTTTGCGTTGGCAGCCATCTTGGCGGTTGCTATTGAATATTATTTGATTGAAATGCATTCTGACAGGCGTGCAGAGAAGGACAGCTCTGCCTCAGCAGCTTCAGGACCAATACTGTCACTGTAGTGTTCATGTTGGAGTTTGTGACCGACGTCATTCAATATTCAGAACCGATCCTCTTTGCTGAATAAAAATTGATTCTCCTTTTTGCTCCATGACAAAGCACCTCTGAATATGTGTTCGGCAATGCCACTTCACTTTGTTGACAATGTCACAATAAATGGCACAATACAAGTGATTTGTGAATGAGTGATGGTCTGAAAAAAAAAAAAGAGTTGCGATATTTGTGTTTGTGTGCAACTAGTGTATTATTTAAAACACAAAGCAATAAAAACATTGCCCATTTGTTGTTGCTTAAGTATACCCTCCGGATGGGGAAAGGACTCAAGCATGTCAGGAATTACACGACTTAACCTGATAGAGAGTAGTTCAACATTTAGATTAAATTCATCTTAAACAAAAAAATTTAACAGAACTAGTTCACACTTAAATCAAAACAGGACAAGGTTGTTGTTCACTTATTCTGAAAGGTCATATGAATCTTGTTGACTACAAATATAGTTTCAACCAGACTAGAACATATTGGTACATTCTTTGAGGACATGCTTCAAAGCTTTTGTTTGAGTCTGAAGAGCTCTTTTGTACCGTGACATTGAGTGCTGAAGCATTTGTCCTTGATAATAATGTTCAGGCTGCCAGTTGCTTCATCATCCTTTGCGACCTCATTCCGTCTCTTCCCAGCCATCTCATTGATTAGTACACCTACTTTAGATTTATTTCCTCAGTTCTTGACAAAGTCTCAAATATTTTAGGGTGTCCATCTGTCGAGAACGTGCAGTAGGAACTGAAATGGCTGCTCAAAGAAGCCAGTGGCTCCCTCAGGACTTTATGATGCTGTAAAGTCCAGGATGCCAGGTTTCAGACATAAAGAGGAAGTTGATAGGTTGTGTATGATTGCACCTCTATGGGGCCACTTGCTTCATGTTTGTTCCACATTTTTCAGAAACGTTGCAAAGTCTCTGTTCAGATGATATATTACTATCCACCTGTCCCTTATTTGTTCATACGCCATGCTTGTCCTTCACTGACCTCATCCTCCTCCTCTTACTCTTTAACTGAAACTCATAAACATCTTGTTTATGCCACATCATTCACATTCTGCACCACCTCTAAGGTTTACGGCTCAACAAAATCTATTTCACCCTGAATGAGGGACAGAGTTTTCACCACGTGTCTCTTGCTGCTGAGAGCCTTAACATTCTTCCACTCACAAGAAACTGCATAAAAAATATGTTTTATTTGAGGTTTGTTTCTAGTGCATATCTTCTGTATCTGCAGTCTTGTGGTATAATCCTTTAAATGTAATGTAAGTAATATTTAATTTATATCATATTTTTTTCTGGTAAATTTGAGTTAAAATGTTTTAAAAACTTTTATCATAACCATGGTAGCCATATTATTATCACTACTACATGTTAATAAGTATTGAAAGTCATATTGAGGGCCACTAAAATGATCTGCACAAGACTACTCGAGTAGTCTCCACCAGCACTAAACTGGGACAAGCCTCAAACCCGGAGTCAGCTCAAGCCCGTTATTTGAAACCCTTGGGGGAAATAATGGCTTATTTTGTAGATTTTTGGCTATTTACAAACTTTAATTTGAGACTCCAGGTTTTCAAACAAAAATAATTTTTTTGTAATTGTTTCCTCTGAAAGCTTACACTGCGTCATACATGAGCACCACTCCACACTGTGCCTTCAGTTTGTAGCAAACAAAAGAAAGGTAACATGTAGAGAATTTAAAAGGCTCGTTGCCCAACCGATTTTAAAGTTGCTTCAGGTGTTCTGAATTTTAGGGAAGCACGTCAATAAGCTCATGAATAAACTTGTGTTTTTCAGTGGCACCAGCGATGAACCTGAGGGTAAGAGGAGTGACAGAGCGTTCCATTGACCTGGAGTGGGAAGGCTCCATCGTGCTGACAGACTTCTTGGTCACTTACACACCAAATACTCCTGGAGGTATGTTCTTTATCATGGCGCCATGTTTTTTGTTAATCTGTAGCAGTAGGACGCTTTTTAGAATGCTAAACAGAACAGGCCTTTGATTGGATTCACTTTCGCTCTCAACATTGCACCATAAACCACATGAGAAGAGATCAGATGGGCAGGATTTCCATGACAACCTCCAAGCAAAAAGAGCCCTCGGACATGAACACACGCACACTGGTCCTTTTATTCTCAAACTTCTGAAAAACTTGCTCGGAGAACCTGCATTAAGGCAGACCAGAGTGTTTTTGTTCTGCGATCTCTAGTTTGCTTCCATCTATTGCTCTTTTCTATAGGGCAGATATGTCTCTTTTCATATTTTGCCACTCATCATTTCTTTTAACACTGAAGCTGCCATCTGCCAGCGTTGTTGCAGATGTCCGTCATCCCGCCCACATCACACCACAGTAGGCCCGGTTCAGACTTCTCTGAGACCACCGCTTTCAGTGAGTTGACGAGTTTACTGTGCATCAGTATGCGGCTGTCATGTTCACATTGGTCCAAGCACACTGCCCTCAAGTCAACACATCTTTTACGGCCGCATGAAAACCACCTTACACTGTACACACAGCAGTGTGTGTTCTATATACATTTCTTTGTTGAGTTCCATCTGTAAATGTGTTTGTCTCCAGACAGTTTCGTGATCTACATCACAGGTGTGGACAGGGGCTTAACCCGAGGCAGAAAACATGAAGGATTCATTTGCGGTTACTATGAAGTATTAAAGATTGTTGCAGTGTGGTGCCAGAACAAACACTGCATGTGTACCGCTAAAGGAACATTTTAAGTACATTCCATCTTCACAGAAAAAGAGACAATTATGACGACGGGATTTCACAGTTTATGGATTCTGACAGACATCACTGGATTTGTGCCACATATACAAAGGATATTTATTTTTTCACTCTTTCTTTAAAATAATCAAATTATTCAACCTGGAATAAAAACTGTGCTTTTTGAGTCTTGGATTATCAGAGAACTAGCGGAATAATCCATTGCATCATTTAACTTGCCATAAAACAGAAGCATAGTCAAATGTGTTACACAATACATTAGAATGCAGGTGTTGTGTGCTCCGTAACAAAAAACAATCGCAGAAATTTTTCCAGCCATTGTGTTAAACAGACTTTTTTGTCAATTGTTTCTTTAATGAACCAAAATATAGTTGTTTTCGTCCTACATTACCGGTACATAGTACTTGTGCACATAATTAGTATACTATACACGATTTCATTTTTCATACATTTGACATTATGGACCATACAACATCTATTATCTATAAAAATAAAACTTCTAAACAACTAGTGTGCTAGATACTTGTCATAAATTGTCATACCTCTGGCCATCACTGTCACCAGTTAAACCCCGCCCACAGGATAACGTCACATGTTTACACCTTTTGAGGGGGCCTGTACTGTGACTAAGAGAATTTACTATCATTGTAGGGGTGCAGTTGGAGTTGCGGCTGCCCGGCAACACCACCACCTGCTCCATCACGGGACTGGACGCAGGAATGGACTACAACGTCAACGTGTTCTCCGTCATCAACAACAGCATCAGTGTTCCCGCCAGCATCACGGTCTCCACATGTGAGTGCACTTCCCTTCGTCCTCCAAAGGTCCTTTAATCGGCCTGTGTGGACTGAGCAGATGCACATGTCTCACACTACTCTCGGTACAGCCCCACAAATCCTCCTGGTGTCAATAAAGCGCAAAAACCAACTAGTAAATCTGCTCCAACATCTGTTCAGGCTCACTCCTAATTCAACACAAACACAAACACGTGTCCCATGTGTATTCTCATGATAAGATATTGTTGTGTAATTTTAAACAGATTTTGGTTTCTGCAGCTTTTCATAGCAAATATTTTATTTTTTTATTTTTCTATGTTTAAAATCATCCTCCTGTGGACTCACCACCTGCAGAGGGTCAGTGAGGGGCTGGTGCTATGAGACTTGGGTGGCATCTCTGATTGCCACCCCCCTGACCCAGAAATGGATTAAAGGGTAGAAAATGGATGGATGGATGGATGTTTAAAATCATCATGTTTATGTATGTATGTTGCCTGCATTCTTTATTTTTCAATCCAGGTGTAAAACGGTGTGTAAAAATAGTCAGTGCAACTTGGGTGTTTTGCATGGGATTTGCTAACTGGAATGTGTGGGATTTATTTCTGCCAGAAAACTGATATGTAAACGAGAGCAGAGCTGAAAGGTCTGCATTTAATTGAGAGCGTATTATAGTAGCCTATGCTCAGCTGCTACATTTTGACTCCAATTAGAATATATCTATAGGCTATGAATGAAGTCTCGAGCTGTTTTCAAAAGCATTGGAAACCAGACAATGAATTGCAAATTTTTTTTTTTCATTACTGGTATAAATTATTTTTTAATTAAATTATCAAAATTGGTATAATGAGCAAAAAGCCTTCCATCTAGGCTCTTCCTGTCGTTGAGAAGCAGAATTCACCAAGCGTTGTATTGTTCATCCCCTCTGTAAGACAAAATATGTAAAATGTTTTACTTTATTGTCCCTGTAGAAAAATTTGTTTTTTGCATTTGACCCATTCTTGAAAGCCTTTAGTCCTCTGTCAGTGCTGTGGTCGCACCAGTGCAGTGGTGCAGTGCCTGGGACCCATCAGATGCTTGACCAGAGACGGAGTATTTTATCTATTGCACTGGTTTTTATTGGAAACCGAAGCAGAGCACCTGGAGGAAACCTTTGCAGACACGGGCAGGGAGAACATCCCAACTCTACTCAGAGAGGCCCTGGCTTAGATTCGAACCCAGAATCTTCTTGCTGAGAAGCAATAGTGCTAACCACTCTCCCACCTCATAAAGACATTGACATTCACTTGGTCTACTGTACCCATGTAGCCCATCCTCTCGGGCTATGACAAGTTTACTATTTAAGTTCTTGTGCATTTAGGCTTGAGATTTATTGGCTGAATGGTATTGTATTATTGTTACTTTTTTAGATGTCTCCAGTCCAGACAGCTTAGTCTTCAAATCCATCACCGAGACGTCCGTGGAGGTCCTGTGGCAGCCATTCTACTTCTCCTTTGATGGATGGGAGATAAACTTCATACCTAAGGTGTGTTTCTGTTGATTTGACCAGTCCAACAAGAGTAAATATTTTACATTTTGACAAAATGAAATAATGTTTTATACACAGCTATTATGTTTTATTTTGAAAACACACAAATCTACCATGTAATAAAATCTATTTAGCTCCTAGTTCTCAGTACGTAAATATATTTTATAAGAAGTTAAAGACTGCATGTTATGGTCTGATTTGTATTTAAGAAACAAAAAAGTGAGGTACTCCACCTTGTAAAGCTAAAATCCAATTTAGAGGAGATTTGCTTAAGCCTATATGGGCCATTAGGTGAATGGGTTTATACCCCTTTTGTCCAAACTCTAATAGTAAAAGCATTCTTTAATTCCAAGTGTAAACCCAGGTACTCTTGGCACTTTAATCTTGTGGATCCTCTGGGTAATTGGCTTTCTGCTTTAAGACGTTCTCAGGGGGAGACATCCTTTGGTCTGGTCAAAATACAAGTCATGGATTGGATATTAAAGATGCTCTTAGTATTTGTTGCAAAGCCTTTTAAGAAGAAAGTCTTTTCATATTGCATTTTGCTTACTATCGACCTCTTGCCTTCAAGCCACTACTCTTCCATTACACTGTCCTCTGCCTCTTCTATTCATGTGCATCATCTTTCTCTCTCTCCCTCTTTCTGGAATTATGTTCTTCACTTGTTCATCTCTCTTCACCTCCCCTTTCTCTAAAAGAGAAATCATATTAGCCGTATGTCCCGCCCCATGTGGATTTAATCCTGGAATGGGGATTGTAACATTTGACAATCTGCTAATGGAAGAAGGCATGAATAAATTGGCCTTGGTGTTCATACAAAAGGCTCAGGGACCCAGAAACTTGTGCCATATGAAAAGATGTGGCAAATAAATCTGTTTACAGTGTAAGTATTTCTCAGCGTCATTGAGAAATATGTTCACAGTTATTTTTTCTTTTCACTATAACCATTTATTGATAATGGGCTGTTGTCCAAACATTCATATGAGGATTTTTCCAGCCAAGACTTATTCAGTTTTTCTTCCAGGACAATGATGGAGGGATGACAGCACAGCTCCCCAGCACAATCACCAGCTTCATGCAGACTGGTTTGAGACCTGGAGAGGAGTACACTGTAAACCTGGTTGCCCTGAGGGAGCAAGGCCGGAGCCAACCCATCACCGGCATTGTCACAACACGTACGTTTCATTTAGTTCTTTCGGCTTTACATTTATAATTTGGTCTGAAATGTTCTGTTATTGTCCCAGTGAAGTATGGCCCACTTGTGTGACTCCTCTGTCACAGCTGTAATAGATCCAATTGAAAATGTTCCTATAACAAATTCAGACTGTGGTGTCTGCAGTCAAAACATCATTCATTTTATGTCAAGCCTTTGTTCTTCTTGTACCTTGTAATTAACTAAGGATACATAATTCATGACACTTTATTCATTAATCTTTTACTCGAAGCCCACTGCAGGACACATTATTGAATTGAGAACGGCGACAGAAGGAAAATGTGAACTTACTCAATAATTTAGATGTAAGATTTAATCTTCCTTAGAGAAAACGATGAACCAATGAAGAGTGAATGGAAGGTAGTTGAAGCAGACAGCTGATCAACGGATGTAAAGCGGCTTTCTTTTCAGGTGTTTTCAAGGACAAGGCCCTCGAGACTAATGAAGCAGGGATTGAGACAAACGTTATACTGTATGGCCTCCTGCGCTATACCTTAAATAAGCAGCTGTAAATCTTCTTTATTATCCGTCTCCCTCTCATTGTCTTCTCCTGTGTGTCTGCTTTATTACATCTGGTTTTCTTTTGAGTTGTTCTTTTGAGTTGTCTTCCAACAATCTCAGCGGCAGACTCTTAATTGCTAGCTGTGTTTTACACCTCTGTGATAGCGCCGTGGTATCTGCAGTGTCAGGTCTGATAGCCTGTACATGTTTGGCTGTCGGGGAACAGAATTTCCAGATAACAAAATCTATGGCTGAAAAAGCTTCCAGCAACGGATGCGGGCAAAAAGTGCCACCAGTTTTTCTAATAAGATAAGCTTTTCACCCAGAGCAGTCAAAAATCTACCTTCAGCCGTAAAACTTTTTGATGGCTGTAAAAAATGTCAGCCGTATGGAACATTTTATATTGAATTTTATTACGGTTTGTAAAGATGGTAGATAGGCTGTCACCGAGATTTATACGTGACTGTTACACTTTAGGTGGAGTTCAGTGGATTATAGCATTATTTTACATATATTTCAGTTATTTTACCCTTGTTGGCAGTGTGGCAGTTTTTGAGACATCATGGAAACTGTGACTTCTTGCCTTTTGCGGATCATTTCCTCTTCTTCCTTCACTGTTTGGATCATTTTAACGGAGGTTTCCTAACTTTTGCATGCCACTGTGGAAGTTGGAGGAAAGGAGAAGAGACATAGCCTACCTCAGTTCATTTCAATTCAATTTATAACAGGATAGTATATCTTAAAAAAAAATAACAATAGACTAATTCTATATAACCATACTATATAAACAAATACATAATATAAATGTAATGATATGAATATAACACGTGGTTTTATAATTAACACACATCGGTCTTGTTGAGCTCCTGTGGACTCACCACCTGCAGGAGGATCAGTGAGGGGCTGGTGCTATGTGTCCTGGGTGCAGCTCTGACTGCCACCCCCCCGACCCAGAAATGGATTAAGGGGAAGAAAATGGATGGATGGATGGTCTTGTTGTCAGTCGTCTCTCGCGCACCCTGCAGGACATGCGCGTAATGGCTCTTCAGAACAAAAGACCATCTCATTTTAAGGCCTGCCTTATAAATGCATCGACCTCATACTTGACCAGGTCCGGTGGGTAATGACATCTCAGTGCATCTCAGGATGTGACCTCACAAAGAACCTGTGTTTTTAAGATAAGATAAGAATTCCTTTATTCGTCCCACATTGGGGAAATTTCGATGTTGCAGCGCACAGACAGGACAGTAGTAAGAGCACACAGGGATCACACACAATATATACACTATATACAAGTAGTAGCTATGTTTCTTAGCTAACATAACTAGCTGTAGATGCTGAAAATGCTTCAATACCAGTCAAAAGATATATATGTAGTAGTGCAGTTATATACTGTACAGTTAAATAGTGCAGGATAATAAGTAGATAAGTAAAGTGACATAAGGTAAAGACAAATGCATTCAACACAAGTATACACATTACCTATAAGTAATACCTATAATAATCATATTGACAAAGTTAAACCAACAATAATAACAACATTCAGTGATGGTACATGGCTCTGAAGTATGTTTTGTTTATGTCCCTTATTGTGTTGTCTGTTGATTATTGTCTACTGTGTTATATGTCTATTATTATCATTGATATTATTGGTTATTGTTATAGTATGGGATTTAAATTATATTCTAGTAGATACAAAATTATTTAGCTGATTGATATTGAATCATAATTTCACTTTATAATAATATAATATAAAAGTGAGGGATTATTTGACTATAGCACAAATATACATGCATATACATACATATAAACAGATAGATAGATAGGTAGGTAGATTGATACTTTATTGTTCCACCATCCATCCATCCATTCCATCCATTTTCTACCCTTTAATCCATTTCTGGGTCACCCAAGTCTCATAGCACCAGCCCCTCACTGACCCTCTGCAGGTGGTGAGTCCACAGGAGGACGGCTGCTCTCTGAGTGTGAGCATAGCCTTGATCTTTCAGTGGGGGCTTTTGGGCAAAGTGGGGTTAAGTTTCTTGCCCAAGGACACAACGACAGGAGTCATCAGTGGGAGTCGGTGGAGATGGTGCAGAGGTGGGAATTGAACCCACGACCTTCTGGCCTTAAGGCCAATGCTCTACCAACTGAGCTACTGTCGCCCCTTTATTGTTCCACCGTAGGAGAAATTTAGGATAAAAGACATAATATGTAGAAGGAAATGTGTATATAAAACTACTGCTGGTTTTGCTTTTGTTATATTTCCCTGTAAATGGCGACAACCATATATTTAAGGACTTATTGGGGGCTGGAGTAAATAAGCTTGTCTTCATCCCCCTCCCTTCCAAGCTGTTTTTTTTTTCTCTCTCTAATGATGTGTTAATATTGTATAGCATCGTAATGTATTTCTTTTTATCTTGTGTTGTATTGTACCGGCTTGGAATAAACTAAACTAAACTAATTTATTCTTGTATAGCCCTAAAATCACAACAGTAGTTATCTCGTGGACTTAACAAAACCGTTAAATTCGCCAACACAGATCAGAGAATCAAACACAAGAAAACGAAAACACATTGGTAGTGGTCCATATGGGGAAGATGACCAAGGTCCATAAGTGTTGATAAATGTCCATAAATGTTGTTGAATGTATTAGTATTAGTATTACACATATAAACAATTAAACATATAAACTTAATGAAAAGTGTTTTGCTATAAAAGCTTTAAGTAAGTTTTCCTATTTTGAATCATGGATATTAACTTCGAATGTAATACGTTAAAAGCAGTAATATCATTTCTTGAAAGTAAAGTTTGTAGATGCCAGCTTGCATTATACATCCGGAATATCAATAGCTCTTGTCAAACTGCACTTGTGGCCGTAGCCTATTGTTAATATTGTATTTTGGGTGGCGCTTTCTCAGTGATAGATGGCCCGACTCAGCTGATCGTTCGAGATGTGTCCGACACAGTGGCGTTTGTGGAATGGACCCCACCGAAGGCCAAAATTGATCAAATTGTTCTGCGCTACGGCCTGGTGGGGGGAGCAGGTCCGCGTACCACCTTCCGCCTGCAGCCCTCTCTCAGCCAATATTCCCTCCAGGTCAGTACGATGTGTATGGCAGAGCTATTTATCATGTCTGGCCGTATACAGTCACATACCAGTGCAGTAGAATGCAGAATTTCCTGTGTTTTTTAAAATATTGGTTCATTACACGCGTCTATTTTTCATGGTTTGTGTTAAATATAGTGCTTGTCTGTAGAGGTCGAGTGGATCATTAATACTCCAGGATATGAGGGAAGTTCGGGGAATTAGAATATTGTTCATTTATTTCTGTAATTCAACTTATAATGTGAAATCAATGTATGATATGGACTCATTACACGCACAGTGACATATGCCAAGCTTTTGTTTGTTATGATATTTTGAAAATGGACTTCAAGCCATAATAATCCAAATTACATTCTCTACGTTTTTTAGTTAGGGTTTTTACAAGCTGTGAGATGATTGTCAATATAATAATTAGTAGTAAACAGTAAATATAACTTTACGTGTAGTGTGTCTGTCATATATCAGTTCCACATTAAGCAGAATCATAGAAGTCAGTAAACTTTTGAACAATATTCTTATTTTCAGAGTTTCATCTGTATACAGAGATTCATTTGCAGTAAAAGTGAAAATATTTGTGATAAAAACAATACAACCAAATCTATAAATATTTTTACATATGATTTGAATTTATTTCATATACACCCATAATATCCATATTTTAGTTGGTATTGTTGCCAATACTCACAAAGCAAAGATCCCTGCTAAGTACAATCTGTTTTGTGTTGTGCAGGTTTTGCAGCCTGGATCACGTTACAATGTGTCAGTGAGCGGCGTGAAGAAGGGAAATGAGAGCATAGCCATTTCCACTGAGTTTTCCACCGGTGAGAGCTGACGGCAACCCAAACAGAACAACAACATTGTAAACAAAAGAAATAGAAAAAAGAGGAATATTAATCGTGAACTGTAGTTTGTCTTTCATTATTCAGCTGTAGCTATTTCGTTCTCTAGCATTCCCAGCATTCTTCTGTTTAATTGAAAGCTTTCCTACAACATCAACATAACAAGATTTGACTTAAGAATGATTTAAGAGTAGAAACTGCTGATGTGTGCTTGTTCATCCAGAACTGGTCTCAGTGTCCCCAACATTGTCAGCTTTATCGCTTTTCTCAGAGATCGATGCCCCTAAGAACCTGCGCCTCGTGACCAAGAGCTCCACCAGCCTGGAGCTGGAGTGGGACAACAGTGAGGCCGAGGTAATGCTGCACAGGCACTTTTCATCCGTTTTCTTTATTATTCTAATGCTTTTTCCTTACATTTAGAATATAAAATACAAGTATTACTTGACTTGAAAATGTTTTCATTTTATTGTTTCTCCTCCCACACATTTCATTTCGAAATGTCTTTAAAGAACTGTTATTCTAATCTTTATTTTGACAAAGGTTTTCTTTGTGTCAACCCACATGTTTTTTAATGTAAACTACAATAAACTACATGAGGTTACATCTCTGCAGGTGGATGGTTACCAGGTGGTGTACAGTACTCTGGCTGGAGACCTTTATGACAAAGTCATTGTCCCACGAAATGATGGAGTCACGTCCAAGACCACACTGACAGGTAAAAGTATTCATTAAGTTTTCAATGTTTGTATATTGGGATGTTTAGTATATTCGATATGATTATAAGGGTTAACTCAAGAAGGGTTGTTACAATGCATACGAATGCAACATGCTAATAAAGCTTTGCATGGGGTTTTTTGGGTCCAAAAACATCAGCACGTGATTTAAGCATGTTATGTCCCTGTTTTATTGTACTGAAAAGCTAAATGTGTTTGCTTTGATCAAAACAAACTATTTTCCTTTGGCCATAAATGTCCACAGTTTGGCATGAAACTGAAAATATGGGTTTAATTTTCTATTTCTCTGCATGGTAACACACAGTCTTTATACCAATAAAAAGTAAACTCACCCCTCTCACCATATTTTGTGTTGTGTAGTATTTCTGATGTGTTGTGGGATCCTAAAGCGTATTGTTGCCAGTATCAGCAAAGTGCACATGCAGTAAGTACATAGCAGAGAATCAGCCGATATTCAGGATCTCCTCCGCTAAAGACTGACAGGCTCCTGACTGTGTCTGCACAAATGCTTGTTGTCCTGGAGCCATATTGAAAGGCTGTCAAGAGGACGGGTCAGCTGGGAGTTTTTTGAAAAAGGCCATAGTGCTGAAAGGGCACGACTGGCATAAGAAAAGAAGCAAAAGGTCCCCGTGTTATTCTGTCCTTCCATTACAATCAATGCACTTACACGTTAGACTTTGCATTACTTCTCAAACGCACACACACATACTGTACCCAGATACACACACTGTTAAATTGGCTTATTGTATCTTAACCCTTTATAGGCGCCAATGTTTTTATGTTATTACAAATGTATCCTTTATGTCACTTAAACATCTGTTATACTTGGAAAATAATATAACATTCTTGAAATGTGCTGTTGTGTTATTTCGCTCAATGCCAAAGTGGTGGGAGTGTGCTGTCAGATGCTTGTGCACGAGGACAGTTTTTACGGTTGTCTCTAAATGGTATATATTTTATTTTTATCTTTCACAGACCTTCTCCCGGGTACAGAGTATGGCATTGGTATCTCAGCAATGAAAGGAAGCAACCAAAGCGCACCCTCAACAATGAATGCCAGGACAGGTATACAGTATGTCCTTCTGCACTCACACTTTGAACCAGCGTTGGTGAAATCTGCATATTCCCAAGAAACAGAGTTGAGCTCAACTAAACTTTTGCTCAGTTCAACAAATATTTTTCGTCTTATTACGTCTCTTCAGTCTTCAATCTTGAAAATTTAAGATAATCATCATTTTATCCATTAACCTTAAATAATTGGGAAACACCTCGGTCTCTAAGGCACAAGACGCAGCAGGGCGTAGGTTGAAAGCATCATTTTATCAACTAGAGAAGATTCAGTTTGGTCTCTTTTTAAAGCAAACTTCACTTGCTACTAGAAACTACTTAAATACTGTTGAACTATGCTCATATTTATAAGATACATTTGTCAAGGTGTAAATAGATAATGTTACAAATGGCTATTTGGGTTGTTATAAGATATTCTGAATATAATCAGGTGTAGTGTGTAAATTCTCTTATTTGTCCCCTTAGTTATATTTTCCCTTCAACGCAAAATTCAAGGTAAACTGAATAAATCCATGTTTCTGTATAAAGATCCTTGAAGAAGGACAGGAAGTGCAAAACAGCCGTTTGCGTTCACAGTAATCTGCTATCGCCCGTATCACACTTTTCCTATCCAGCCATTCACTGCATTAGTGCCAAGTATTATAGTCTATTGTGAAAGGTACATGCACTCGAAAATGGTCTATTTATGCTTGTAAATCTGCTGGGAGTATTCTAAAAACAGCAGCTTGACAGATTGGTGGCTTTAAAGATTAGACACACAAATCTTGAGTTTTTCATAAAACATACCAATTCATCTCTGTGTGAGGAAGGAAAACTCAAACTTAATTTGCGCTAATAAAATTTGTCCATGAAAATATTTCACATTTATGGTGCATTAACTCTTTACTAATGGTGTTTCAATGTTCCCGTTTAGGCCTGGATGTTCCATTGGACCTCACTGTCACAGCCTCCACAGATAACACCATCACTCTTGCGTGGGGGGTCGTCCAGGGCCCCATTGACCATTACAAGGTTACCTACATATCCTCTTCTGGCATCACCACCGAGGTAAACATACATCCTCTGTATATCAAAGGGCATCAACAAAGTGCTCCAAGGATGTGGCCTCATGTGGGTTATAAGAAATAAGCATTTTTGTTTTCTTGTAGCTCACTGTTCCTAAAGATGTGACCACGGTGACACTAGAGGACCTTGAGCCTGGAACAGAGTACACAATCACTGTGGCTGCACGCCGAGGCCGACAGCAGAGCACCGCTGCTACAATTGATGCATTTACAGGTACAAATTAAATAGAAAGGTTTTGTTTTTGCTTTAAGAAAGAGCGAAGGAGCTTTTTTTCTCTTCATCATCTTCAAATGCTTCCTCAACATATTTTTTGACTGATTTCTTCCTTCAAAAAGCCAATTTCAATGGACCGTAGGTTTTGTGCGGAAGGTAAGACCAGCCATACTAAAAGAAAATCACGACCATAAAGGACTTTGAACAAGTTAATTAGCTACGGTAAATTATTCAAGTCTGCTAATGAGGCTTTTACAGGCGTTTTCTAACGTGGCCTCTGTTCTGCATCTAAAGCTCATTTGTGTTAAGCTGTGATTCTTTATCCAACAAAAACCTGCCGCCGCCACTGACCAATCATCCTTGTGTATAAGCATAGCTAATGTGACGCACCACTTCTCCTGATGTTTTAGGACAGATAGTGCGATGCCTTTCCAAGTTGTACAAAGCATGCAGTGGTAGTGGGTTACATGTGCCTATAGCCTCATCTGTCTTTTGTGTGGACCTACTCTGAGCCATCATCCTGTGTGCGCTGCGCTTTCTTTATGCTGGACTCATCACTGTCATCACCGGAATGATCACCTCATCTACCCAATAATGGGGATAGCTTCTATACCTCTTTACCTGGAGTGGTCTGAGCGGAGCCTTGAGACAATAGTGAGATGACAGATTTTAACGTCCAAGAAGTGGGAAAAGTAATTGCCCATCAAGCTCATGTCAACTTGTCACTTGGTCAAATTGGCAACATCTGTCAGCTGGCACCGGACGCTTCCCATCTTCCATTCACCGCCTCAGACTAACATGAGGTCTTCTCTCTTGCTCTCTTCACTTGAAATGTGTAAATTACTTCACCACTTAAAGAATGAACGGAGTGTTAAAAAACATCTAAAGCTTAGCCAGCTAATTAAAATGCTCTTGCCTCGTTCTCAGTTATTAACATGCTTTAAATGTCTCTGAGTGTTTTACTGAGCTGCACAGTCCAATTCCAGTTTTTATACTCCCTCTCAGAGCTCCACTGTGAAAAGAAGTTCAGTTGAAATGTATTTAGTTGTCTTTTTTGTTTTAATGTTATCCACATACAGTTTTATTCAATATTCATACCACCATGTTTGTCATTTTTGATCAAATGAAACCAGTATCATTAATATCCATCGTGATCCCTCGCTGTCTTCAATAATATCGGCTTTTTGCGTATTAATCACCATCGTAATTCCAGTTAGTTCCTTTTAAAGCCACATCATCTCATTATTTCTGCCTTTTATGACCAATTAAATCATAACTGGCACGCCGTTGTGTTCTGACTCTAACCTACCTCATCAAGATTTCACCCGAGGCCAATTTTCTCAACTGTGTAATAAACGACCCATCATGGCCGCCCGGACCGCCCCCATCCATCACTGACTTCCTCTGTCATCGTCATAACAGCAGCATTTCATTGCTTCATCTCTCACGATTGCTGCCTGTGGTCCGCTCCTGTGTGCTGTGTCCTGTCCTTCCACTGACATTGAGACCTCCGCTCCTTCAGGAATCAGACCCGTAGCTCACCTCTTCCTGTCCGAGGTGACTTCAGACTCGGTGTTGGTGGTGTGGAGCTCTCCGGCGCCCCCCGCAGACTTCTTCATTCTCAGCTACAGCTCGTCTGACGGAACTGACACGTCCAAGGTTACTCTGGAGGGATCCAAGACTAGGTCACTGGTTCAGGGCCTGTTGCCAGCGACACCGTACACCATCAGTTTAATCACAATACAAGGAGACTCTACCTCAGAGGCAATCACCACCTCACTCACCACAGGTGAGCTGCTCACTGAGTCATGTGTCATCCTCTGCTCACCCATTCTACTCGCTTAAAGATCCCATGACAACTGGGAGAGCAGTCCATATTCTAGTTATTACACAGTGATACAACTTCTGTGCAATAGGGATATTTTTCATGGCACTGCAATTACAAGAGTATCACTTCTGGTTGTTTGCCAGAGCAACTTCATAACATTTGTTTGAAAATCAAATTACTCCGGGAAGCGTGTCTGCCAGCAAGATGATGCAGCTCAATAATCTGAAATTATGACAATTCTAAATAGTGGAAAATCGTGTTTCATATGTGGTGAAACAATATCAGGTGTTCATAGTTCACTGTTAGTTGATTTTTGTCCATTCTTGAACAAAATGATTGTCTGACCATAAACTAATTATTATAATGAATGCAGTTTATAATAATTGACAGTTTTTCCTTAGAAACAAATAAAGTGTTGTCATAGGACTCATAAACAATTGTTCAGTTGCTTTGCGAGTTCAGCCTAAATAATGTTTTTTATGCAAATGGGTTTTCGAGGGGCTTGTTTTCTTAATGGTTCTTTTTTATTTTATTTTTCCAGTAATTGTTTGCGGCGTGTATCATCTTCCCCATTCTCTTTGATATCAACTTTAAGCTCCTCGCCGTGATGCACCTTCATTGTAAACAGACAATGGCCCAGTTATGTCATACATAAATGGGCTTGATGCTGGATCGCAGCTCACAAAATCATCCTTTTGATATCACGTTTTCTTTTTATACCTGCACACAAGGACTGACTTGCAGGTCGGGATTAGGTATACAGAAAAGAGAGGCTGTTTTTTGGGGAGTATAAAGGCAAAGAAAAGAACAGAAAATAAAGCTGAGGAGACAAAGAAAGAAGTCACCATTGATGGGTAAATTATCACTGTAGCTTGAGACACCTGCACTGATCTGATTACTCTGCTATTTCTATATAAGAGTCCTGGCAGCCTTAAGCCACAGCGCTGTCTCCTCTCATTCTCCCTCACAGTGATAAGCAGGTGGACTGGTATGGATTGAGGAGGGATTTGGAGCCCTGGCAACGCACCAGTCTGTGTAAAATCCTGATTTGGGAATACTTTTACAGTTGGAGGATATGATGTGCTTCTGTCCGATTTTTATTGACGAGACTTGTGGTCGATTATTATATGTTTAGTACATCTCATGTTTTCATCTCTAATAATAATTGTATTGAAAGTATAGCGATCGACCGATATGTGTTTTTTGTGTGGCCGATAACTTTTTTAACTTGATGTTGATGCGAGTTTTTTGCATAGCCCTAAATCACCACAGCAGTTATCTCGGGAGGACTTAACACATTTCTTGGCTGAGGTCACGAGATGCAGGACCGAGGCGGCTCCCAGGCGGGCAGGTGAGAGCTGCTCACGAGTCCAGGCCGGAGAGAGGATAGTGCTCAAGTTGCAGCAAAGTGTCTCCATATGCAGCTTGAATGACAATTTGTGCTATTAGACTTAAGGATGTGTTTATAAGTCTTACCTGAGTCTTGCCCACCTAATCATTTGCTAAACTAAAGGGGACTGTTTTAAGCCTGGCCTTGAATGTAGAGACTGTCCGCCTCCTTGACGTGGATGGGAAGCTGATTCCACAGTATCTGCCTTCGACTGCTTTTTATCACTTTAGGTACCACAAGTAGTCTGGCGTTTTGTGAGCGCACTGCTTTGTTTGGTTGATATGAAACCAAGGCGTCCTGGAGGTAGGGAGCCGTATGGCCTTGTAAGGTTATTACATTAGGCCTTGAAGGGAAGTTGATCGGAGTAGGTTTATTTTATTTGTGAAAGGTTTGTTTATAACATATTTTGCATCTGCCATTATTTTTGCATATTCACTTTTGTTCATTATGGAGATATTTTTTTGAAGAAATGGATACTTTTATTGAAAATAGACATGTTTATTTTTTGGTATGTTTTTCTGAAAAGGTAAAACTCCACTCAGGCCTGCATTTTTTTTTCTTTTGAGCAAAAAGGTCTAAGTCATGCTTCAGGCATTTTTAAATCACAGCAGAACCATCCATGTGTCGCACATTCAGAAAAGGAATTCATTAAATAAAGTAAATAAAAACAGGGCATATTCAAACGGCTGAATTTTCTGTAGAATGCACTCCATTAGACTAAAGGCTTATAATTAAAATATTATAAATAGATCAAAACAGTCCTCCATTTTCTTTCAAATCCTTGTCCATTTCCCTCTATTATTCTTTTCAGTACAAGACCTGTTATCATTTAATTACCGTATTTGCTCACATTGTTTTTGGAGTAACCTTTCCACCGTCACTCTATTGTCCCTTGAGCCACATTAAACAAAAATGTGAGCAGCGAGAGACTGTAGCCTTAGCTCAGTCACAGAGCTAAAGCCTCTCATTGTTTTCTTACAGCTGGATGAGCGGGATTTTCTTTCACAAAATCGGGTTCTTCCTCAAATACATTTGCGTACCCATACTTACACTCAACATACAAGTTTGTTTATGTAAAGAGGATGAAAGGAATGTTTTTAAGTGTAGAGAATAGAGCGTAAGGACAAAGTCGCCGCAGCTTTCAAGAGCATGAAAGATTACAATGTATATGTTGGTAAACCAGAAATTTTTTTTCTACTTCCATTCTGGCAGAAAGTCTTTGCTACCAACGGTGTTAGCGCAAGTCCGAGTAGCTCTGTATTTCAAGAGATCCTTTGTCTTCTGTTTTGTTTTTATTGTTATAATTATTATTTATTTTATTTATTTATTTATTTTAGCTTCTCTGCCCATCACAAGGGAAAAGGGGATGTGGGGAGCACAAAGGGGACAAAAAGTAAAGTGTGATGCATACCAACCAGTGCAAATATTTAAATTAACAAAATATGTCTGTTTGAGTCACACTTTATTACCAATGTCAGTAACTTTTAAAATTATGTATTTATTTTTGTTTGTATTAGCTAATGCGTTTTCTGCCGCTGCACACCTGAATTTCTCCTTTCAAGTATCTATCTAAGTGCAAACTCTTTTCAAATTTTTAGTGGCTCTATAAATCAACATCATCAAAGCGGCCTATTTCTGTATGATATGCACGCAACTGGATTTTATCTAATTATTTTGTTCTCGTCCTCCAGGCACAGACCCACCCAAAGAGCTTCTAGTGTCTGATGTGACGGAGGACTCTGTGACCCTCTCCTGGATCACGCCAATGGCTCCGTTCAAATACTACCAGCTCTCCTATGTGTCTGCTCAAGGTATATCGATAACATTTGAATATCTGTGACATGTATAAGCCCATAGCCGCACATTACTACTCCTGATGCGTCTGCTCATGTCTGGTGCAGGGCGAGAGGACAGTATGGTGATTGACAGTGATGTGAACAACTACACCTTGTCCAGTCTGTTCCCCGCCACAGAGTATGAGATCAGTCTGACGGCTGTGAGGGACAATCTGGAGAACAGGGCCGTCAGCACCTCTGTCTTCACAGGTGAGCCTCACATCCACCTCAGATAGAAATATTACACACACACTGAAGACTTTCTGGTCTGGTATGCTTTGTACGGCTGTATGGATTGGTATTTTATTCATAGAAAATGTTTAAAAGAGATCAATCTAACGCAGTCTAATTGATTGTCTCATTCATGTAAGCTTTTCACAATGATAAGATTCAGATTCAGAGGCTTTAGGGGTTTGGTAAATGTTTATCATCTGAACATTCAAACATAAAGTGTGTAAATGCAAGTGTTATTGTGTTATTGTGTTATCATGGTTTCCTTATATCAGTGTTCCCCAACCTTTTTGAGCCGTGGCACACCTTTTTCACTGCAAACACCTCATCACATGGCACACCGCCAGCTGAATTTGATACGAAATTGAAACTCTACAGTCTTTATTAACAAAGAAAAGTCATTCTCATCAATGTGTATTATATAGCATAGCAAATAAGCACAAAAAGTATAATTATCTCACATGAGTTTGACTAAGCAGGTGATATTGGATCATTTCCAAAGCACACTAATAATCATCTCAACGTTCACTTTTCAAGATTACTTATCTGTGCGCTGCAACACCAATATTTCTTAAAGAAGTTGTAAATATACCCCTTAACAAAATTGTATAATCTGTTACTTGTGCTATTATTACAAGTAGATCCAGCGTCTTTTTGTTCTTATCTGTTCATATATTCCTGATATAAACTCTTACTCCGTTGTCCTTGTGTAGACTGCAGTGTAGTTCATTAGCTCTTTCTTTAATTGCCTTGGTTTCTGAACTTTGAAGATAGCCTTGAAATACAAGTTTGAGAACCACACTTCCATATCATTTTCAGATAGCCGTAGTCTCTGTGAAAGCTCCAAGATTAACACACTCTCCTGACACTGTATGCATAATCTCCGGTGTGAGAGATGAGGAGCAAGCAGGAGAGCTTTGGAGAGGACAGGACAGGGGGAAGTGTTTGCATGCCAATGAGACCCAATTCACAGAGAGATGCCGCAAAAGTCCTTTTTCTCACTTTCATGTAGCGCCACCTCAGAAAATGTGTATCTGCTTTTCCAACAATCCCAGAGTGCTTAGCAAGAACAGTGCCACACTTTATACTCGGTGTAGGCAGGTGTTATTCTGAACTAAAACTCCTTAAACATCCGTCTAATATCAGTTTTGTAATGGTAAATATTCCAGGCTGAAAATATGCATAATATATTCATATTTTTAAAACTGTAATCAACACAAACATTGTTTTTTCGACCGCTTCCACTCCCCTCTCAGCCTTCCGAGCACGAGGTCATAATGCGATAAACTAAAATAATGTATTCACTTGAGGAGGAATTATAATTGCTCTGTATAATTGGACATGCAGGTTGGCAAATGGTTCAACTCCTACTCGCTCATTGACTTTCGTTGAAAATGTTCATCTTCTACCTCAATAACCGTTTGGATCAGACTGAGCCCAAACATTGACCAGTCAGGGGCCTATACTGTCACCAAATACTGCTGTAGCTAGCAAGTAGCGCGGGTGGGGACAGACCGGCACTTGCTACCAACATTTGCATATTGTTGGATCCATATTCCCGCTCAAATAGCCTCTCCTGCATTAAGGCTTGCACTATGGGTGATGTCAGCACTGTTTATGTTTACGCTGCAAGACCCAGAGAAAGTGGCTTTAGCAAATTCAAGAACAACAACTGCTTCTTTTATTTGTTGGCAGGCAGAATGTGCATTTATCATTTTTGTATAAAAATTAATAATATGTATTAGTCATGAAACGGCATGAACTCATCTTGATCTTGAGAGACACTGGTAAATTTCATATCAAAAGCAGAACTTTTTATATGAGTTTGGCGTGAGTATATGTGTGTTGTATTTACAGTAGGAATAAGTGTGAGTGGAGTGAGAGGACGAGTGCCCAAAAAAATAACAATTGTAAACCGCTTTGTGACTCTGGTCTGTGAAAGGCGGTATATAAATAAAGCTTACTTACTTACTTACTTACTTACTTACTTAGCTCTGCACTCTTGAGCACCAACTACAGCTTTTTGCAGTCATTCCACATGTGAACAATGAGGAGAGAAAAGGAAGCTAAACCCCGGAGTAAGAGCAGCCCTTTGGTCCTGGTGCAGCCGAGAGGACAAGCCTCTATCAAGCCATAAATGTGACTGTAGCCTGCGTCTGACAGCTCTTAGGTCTGTTTTCTCTCTGGCCTTATCTGGAAATTATGTACATTTTACTCAGGCCTAATTTTTTTTTCATCATTACTTATTATATTCTATACATGTTTTAAACTGTACAAAAACATCATTCAATAATAATAAATACATAATTTATTCCATAAAAAATGTAATCTATTGGGAGAAAGTGCGATTCATTTGCCTCCATTATTACCCATGGTATTTTTCCCCCAGAATGCAGTCAAATTAATCAGTAAATTTATCCCCGACCCTATAAATAAAACACACAAAGAGTAGACAACATACAAATAAGGGATTTAAAGGGTATTCCAGTTTCTTGGCAAATGATTGAAAAACTGGGCCATTGTTGTTTATTTACAGTCATGTGGAGAAGGATTGAATAATAAATGGTGTTATTGTGCTCTATAGATACACGCACAGTAGGAAAGAGCATTGGCGAGGCAAAAAGGGAATGTACGTTCTTAACCACTTTCATAACATTTACTCTTTTCCATAATTTTACTTAAAACAACCCTTCCATTAAACAGAAGACACTTGTAAAAATCTGCAAAATCTGAACTTTACTTAACTTTACTGTTAGGGACCTGGACACAGGGATCTTACTTTATCTCAGAATTTTCGTTTTGTCTGCTTTTTGCTTTTTAAACTTAAGATTGAGAGATCCTTTGCTCGTCCCACGGTGGGAAATGTCAGAATACTTCAGTACCCAACATGGACTCTAGTGTACAATAGTCCTTTATTCCTCTATCAAGAGTAAACATGAATCAACTCAAAACTTTTTATGCAGCATTATTATTACTATAGCAAGTCTGTAGAATTGAATTGACCCTCTCTTAAATTTCATACCAGTCGTCCAGGCTTGTCTCGAACCTTGTTTGAGTCTTGGTCAATCCATAAAGCTGCTTATGTGACCCCATGACATTATTATTCTGCGGTCAGCTGCTGCGACCTGGACCACCATGTTTTCTATTGATGATTACTGTTGGTCTTTTCTCTCGCCTGGAAGTGCAGCCAAGGAGTGGAATAAGATTTCATTGCACCAACGCCAAGAGTTTGGCCTCTTGCTCATTCACTCTGTTTGAAGCAAACTGCTGCACTTGGGGCTAATTGTGCTACTTTTGTGGAGATGTGAAAGCACCAAACAAGTGCACTCTGGTCCACTTCACCTCTGCTCACGTTACAAGCACTTGTGTATTACTTTGCATCTGAAGTGAGTCCAGTGAGGCCTGAGCTTTAAAACAAAAACAAAAGCATGGTTTGAAACACCCACGTCGTAAGAGTTGGAAACTACATCACCACCGTTTGAGAGATCTTTGCGAATCAGAGCAAACACTTGTCACTGTGGATAAGTGTGAAGTTTTCACATTCACAGTTGTACAAATTCAAGCCAAATGAGAAGTAGTTTCAGGATAATGGAATGAAGACCGTGCTGCACTTGTTCAATCTAGATCCTGAAAACCATTTACTACTGCCGCCACAGAGCAATAATACGAAATGCCCTTTTAACGCTGCCTAGAAGGCTCCTGGGCTATTTATACAAATGAAAAAACAGATAATGTTTCAGGGCTAAATAATACACATTTGTGAAGCTTCTGAACATCTATCATCTACTATATTAAATACAAAACATGAGCTGTCTGTTATTGACTGCATGTATGCTCAGCAATTGGCACTTTTCATATTCACGACAAAATAAATGTGCTTGGTGAAAAAAACAAAAACAAGTAGCATTAGACAGATATGGGAAAGAAGTGCTCTGTGACGTGGACATTTTGACTAATGAACCCTTAAATGACCATAGGCTTTTTCCCACTACCACGTCATGTTTTAAAATGATGTTTTGACTGGGAACACAGTGGGAAAGGTTGGCGTGTCGTTTAGATCAACGTCGGATTATCACCACAGGGAAATCGGGGTCAATACAAACTTTCGACTTTAGAAATAAGTCTTCTAAAGTCACAGCGCAGTGCACCCAGGATTATAATGTCTACAGCAAGCTTATCATTGAAACACTATTTTTTAAAAGCCTAACCATTGATAGTAAGAGCTTTACACTGACATTATGAATAATATTGTCCCTCATGTGACTTGTGTATAGTATTTTACCTCTGATCACCGCGACCCACATGTACAGGCTGTGAATCCGTTTGAAAATTACCGCTATATTTGATTGGCATGTATACACCCAACACGCCTCGGCAAAAAGACTTGGCTTTATTTTACAGGTGAGCACAAAAAGATAAATTTTAAAACAATGATTGACATTAGGGGCGATACTTTGTCTCGTGATTCGATTATCGATTTGCATTTGCCAAGTATCGATATCGATTTAAAAAAAGAATAATAATAATTGCATTTTTTTTTTTTTTTTTTTTTACAAATATTTTTTTTAAATTGGTATCAATACTTAATATATGGCTACATTACGTATCTACATTTCATTTATCATCAAATGAAGTGTATTTTTTCTTTTATTTATGCCATAAATTGGAATATTGTATATTTCTGACCAATATATCGATAATCGTCATATCGTGATATCGTTATTTTGATAATATCGTTATCGTGATAATATCGTTATTGTGAGCTTTGTATCGTGTATCGTATCGTATTGTGAGGTACACTTAGGTTCCCACCCCTAATTGACATAGACATAACAATCATTTCTGCAGTTAGAATATAACTACTTAATAATAATAATAATAATCAGGTCATTAATTGCCTGGTTTTTTTTGTCACTCCTTTTGCTTACTGTATGTGCGATGTCTTATTGGCCCTGTTGACTAAATTCACCTAAACCCAT